ATTTATTTTAAAATACAGAGTTAATAAATTTTTATTTTTACAAAATAAAATGTTATGAAATCAAATAACCGAAATGTTGAAACGAAGTTAAGCGGCATCGGCTTATTTCCTATCTATCTATCTATCTATCTATCTGTGTGTGTGTGTGTGTGTGTGTGTGTGTGTGTGTGTGTGTGTGTGTGTGTGTGTGTGTGTGTGTTTTGAACTATAAAAATTTTAGAAAAATAAAATTTTCAGACATACTGGGTTGTATATTAATATTTTTTTATTTTATTAATTCAGTTATGGTCCTCGATTAATTTCGGCCAGCAGTGAACTACAGGAGTGAATGACTGCCACTGAAGAAAGTGAACTTTATTTGAAGTTTTCATTTGTTTTTTTTTATCCTTAATTTGCGTTTATCCTTGTGTTGGTCAAACGGCATCTTTCAAGTTGTTTTTAAGATAGAGGATGAACGATTCCTGACTTTAAGAATACACTCCTTGGTCATTTTGACAGTTTTATTGGTTGTTGAGAATGGGATGTCTGTGTTAAATGTTTGTTATCATTTAGCTTTTTGGGAGTGTGTGTGATGTGTGTATGTGTATTTGTGTGAGTGTGTGTATAAGTGTGAGATATCGACACCTCTACAAGCATGTTTGTCTTGTGTTAGTGAGGAATGTGTTTAGGGTTTGATTTATAGGGTTATATATTAATTCTATCTATATTGTTAAATTTGTGGTTAAGTCCGTCTGAACAAAGTGTTTTGAGGGGCAGAAGCCTTTTGACTTCATGTTTCTCTAGTATATTTCTAAGGTTTAATTTCTGTCTATTTCTGTTTTTTTTAATTATAGTGAATTTGGCATAGCTTTTAAAATCATGTTTTTCTAGGCAGAAAAGTTGTTCTACACGTAATAATATTTGTGCTTTGTCCTTGAGATAGTACGGATAGAGATTATATTCATATATCGATGGCTAAAGAGTTCATTGTTTAGTATTGTATTCAGTGAGGTAGCATATGCGTATAGATATGGCACTGAATATACTTAGTGTAAGTCGCAGTAACCACTACCAGGTGTAATATCAGATTTTAATATAGAGGGTTATCCAAAAAAAAAAAAGAAAGAAAGATAAAGGAAAAGGAAAGAAAAAATTCAAATGAAATAATTAAAGTCAAATAAATTCAGAGAGACTTAAAATGAAAACAAAGATAAGGACACATAATTTAAAATGGTATAAAACTTTTGACAAATGTTCAACTTTCGACGCCAATGGGAGTGATAATTATCATGTTTTATACGGTAGATCGCCGCCTCCACATTGCAGTTTGGCGGCAAAGCTATCAAGGAATTCATTATTATTATTATTATTATTATTATTATTATTATTATTATTATTATTCATTATCAGTTGTTAAAATGATCAATTTCCGAATGTACAATCCTGTCCATTTAAAAAACATTTATTCGAAATAGATATTCAGTTTAAAGGAATCAGAAAAATGACTGCAAATGGTCGCACATATCAGTTTATATTATTTTCCTGTTATTCAGGGGTTGTTGCCAGGCAAAAAATAAAATTAGCCATTTCATTCAAATTGCCTGTGCATCTACGTTTGCGTGTGCGCATATTTTTTTTAACAAAGTTTTAAAAGAATAAAAATTTTTAAGCATTATCGCAATTTTCAAATATTGATTTTCCGGAAAATTCAATAAAATCATAAAATTATTTGACGTCTTTAGTTAAATATATTTTGTCGCTAATGTTTTTATTAGCCTACGCTAGCGTTATCCAGACAAAGTGAAAAGGGAATGGATTTTGTCAATGTCATCTTTCAAACTTCATTAAAATTATGTGTACATGTGCGCGTGCACGTGCTTGCGCATACATTAAATAACAGTAGCACATGCAAATCTCATATACATTACAGACGCACACGCAAAATTTCGGCCCGAATGTGTGCCAGACAGAGAATTAGCTTTTCTTTACGGACACACACAGACACAAAAAAAACACACACGCAGGCACACGCACACACACGTACACACATACACACACATATGTATATATATTATAAATTAACTGATTTAAAAATATGGTTCCATTGCTACACAGGAATTACCATGTTTCAAAAACAAACTAAACACTTCAAATTAAATTATATAATTAATTTAAAAGCATTAGGTTTCTTTCATCTCCACGCAAATTTGTAATTACAAAATTCACTTGAAGATGAAACATAATTAGTTTCTCTTTTGAAACTTGGTAATTCCTGAGTAGCGATTGAACCATATTTTTAAATCAGTTAATTTATCATATTTATGCTCTGTATATTTACATTTAGCACTGTTTTGTGAAAATAAAAATAAAAACAAGAAGAACAACGGATTATATATCTTAATGTTCTTTCTTTTTTTATATATATATATATATATATATATATATATATATATATATATATATATATATATATATATATGTGCGTGTGTAAGCAAATATATGGATATAGATCCGACAGTATGAAGAAAAATATATACGGAAAAAACGAACAAAAATCCTTATATACAATTTATACTGTTTTAATGTTAATATGTCAACGTCGGACGTTTCGGTTTAATAAACCATCTTCAGGACATATTCATAAATTATAACATTATCAATACAACATGACAAAGACGATGTACATAAGAACAAGACTTATCCAAACAAATAACTGAAAGTTTTATAAGATCAGCGCCCCGTTTAAAACATGGTCACGTTGTCGTCACGTGGGCGACGCTGTGAAAACGTATTCCTAAAATTTGAATATTTTGAATGAAAAATGAAAAGAATTCTATTTTGAACTAAAATTTGTATGTACGTTTGTCGAGCATTAATCTTGCTAGAAAAGGGGATATACTAAAGAAGCCAGGTCTAGTGTTCACCGTGCGTGAGATGGATATTATGCCTGCTTCATAAATCCGCCTAAGATTTTTATTATGAAAATATTTTAAAATCTTCACGGAATCAAAATCGAAATTATGATCAGCTTTAGTTGTGTGTACAACTATAGCATTGTTTAAATTTCCGAGGCGAATATCTCGTTTATGTTCGAAAACACGAGATTTTACGGACCTACATGTTTCACCCACATATTTTAAGTGACAGTTTTTGCATGAGATTTGGTAGATGCAAGCATCGGATGTAATATGTTGTCTGCTGGTGCTATTTAATAAACTACGGATAGTTCTAGTAGGTAATATTGTAGTTTTATATATATATATATAATAAAATATACGTTTCAGGTTTTTAAAAGTGCTCCTTATCGGAGTTAGAGTATATATATATATATATATATATATATATATATATATATATATATATATATATATATACACATGGTGCATAACAACAAGAAATTATCTACTACAAATAATTTTAAACAGCTAACCTTATCCTCAAACTCACCTAAAAAAAAAAACGAACATTATTCACATGACCACGCGAGAGTGGAAACAAGTAGTATTAAGTATGGGAAGCCGTTGGTATAAACCAATGGCTTCTGTTACCAATTATAGGTATTTAAGGATATTTGTGGAGATTTCATAGTTTATTTTGTTCAGGTTAGGTTTCAAACGTTTTATATATATAGTTTCAAGAATTTTTAGCTTTTGTTTATTGTTTCATGTTTAAGTATAGTTGTATTTTCAACGAGGATTTTCCGGAATTGCGTATGCTGCCACGCATGTTGTTTTAAATACCTAAAAATGTTAGAATTATCATTCAAATGTAGTGTCAAGAGTCTTGAAATCGAGTTTGTGGTGTGACCAACATAAATATTATTTAATTCGTTGGATATATATATATATATATATATATATATATATATATATATGTGTGTGTGTGTGTGTGTGTGTGTGTGTGTGTGTATTCTTGCTTGTCAACATTGAAATCGTGAAAGTCATAGATAATCAATAAAATAATCTTGTGGAAGTAATAGTAAATTTATTCAATTCTACAAACTGTTTTGACAAGAAGATGTAGCCTCATCCTTCCATACTGAATCTTGATAATATAGTTTATTGAACTTTCTACATAGTTTCACACACCTGGGAAGGCCACAATGAAAAGACTAAATGCATCACATCTCTATCCGTATTTGCGAAGACATTACTTGCATCTACTTATATATTAGCACGATTTTGTTTTATTTTAGCATTTTCGTAATCTTGGGGCACATATCTAAGTCGTCAACAGAGACAGTCATAAAAAAGACATTTGTTCCACTGTTTGTTCACAGAGCGACAGATTTTATTGAAACATGGGCTTCTCTCGTGTTCTAGACTTGGTGAGAACTTATAAGAATTTACCGTTCGTGATGATCTTTCTTTACGTAGAAATATCGATTTCAGACATTCGTTTACCTTTTTTCATGTAATTTTCCTTGTTCGACATAGATGTAACGTTTGTTCATCCAAATGAAACATAAACAGGATGACACCACTTTTTTTTGCATCTCAAAGATATCTCCATTCATTTGCTTAAAAAATCGAGTTATATCAACACCGGTAAAATATTTACGATCACCGTTTCGGAGCTCACGTCAAAATGATAAGAAAAATGTCGGTAGCGACCAAAAAATGAATTTGTCCATGTTGTCCATGTTAAATAGAGTTATTCTTCTGTCTAAAAAGTAAGAGCGACTTCATCTGGTTTTCTTCTGAACAACCTTTTTCCACTTTTGAGAAGCAAGTGTTTTTGATTTCTTTCTAAAACGATGTCGTTGAGAATTGATAAGGGGAAATTGAAAGGCGACAGGAGGCTGTAAATGATAGAGCGGGAAATTAGCAGACGAATGTCAGGAAATGAAGGCAAAAAAGAAAAAAAAAGTGGATGAGAGAATCTGGAGACAAAAGTGAAAGAAAAAACGATGGAAATTAGCGGATACAGAAAGGGGGAGGGGAACGATTAAGATTAGAAGTGTGTGCTATAAAGAAAGAGAACAATAGAAAAATAATTAATAATTAGGACAGCTGGCAATATCAGAAAGAAAGAAGGAATAAAGAAAGAAAGGATGAAAGAAAGAAAACAGAAAGAAAGATAAAGAAAGAAAGAAAAAGAAAGATAAATAAAAAGATAAAGAAAGAAAGATAAAAGAAAAAAGAAAGAAGAAAAGAAAAAGAAAGAAGAGAGAAATAAATAAAAAGAAAGAAAGAAAGAAGGAAAGAAAGAATGAAAAAGTAAGACAGTAAGAAAAAAGAAAGAAAAGAAGAAAGGACAAAGGAAGAAAAAATAAAGAAAGAAAGAAAGAAAAAGTAAGAAAGTAAGAAAAAAGAAAGAAATGAAGAAAGGAAAAAGGAAGAAAAAATAAAGAAAGAAGGAAAGAAAAAGTAAGAAAGTAAGAATGAAAAAAGAAAAGAAGAAAGGAAAAAAGAAGAAAAAATAAAAAAATAAATAAATAAAGAAAGAAAGAAAGAAAGAAAGAAAGAAAAAGTAAGAAAGTAAGAATGAAAAAAGAAAAGAAGAAAGGGAAAAGGAAGAAAGAAAATAAAGAAAGAAAGAAAGAAAGAAAGAAAGAAAAAGTAAGAAAAAAAGAAAAAAAAAAAAAGAAGAAAGGAAAAGGAAGAAAAAAAAATAAAGAAAGAAAGAAAGAAAGAAAAGAAAGTAAGAATGTAAGAAAAAAAGAAAAGAAGAAAGGAAAAAAAAGAAAAATAAATAAATAAATAAATAAATAAAGAAAGAAAGAAAGAAAGAAAAGAAAAAGAAAAAAAAAAATAAATAGTAAAGAGAATGAAAAAAAAAAAAAAGAAAGGAAAAATGATGATGAAAAATAAAAAAATGAAAAAATAAATAAATAAATAAAGAAAGAAAGAAAGAAAGAAAACTAAGTAAGAATGAAAAAAGAAAAGAAAGGAAAAAGGAAGAAAAAAGAAAGAAGAAGTAAGAAAGTAAAAAAGAAAGAAAGAAAAGAAAAAAGGAAAAAAGGAAGAAAAAAGAAAGTAGAAAGAAAGAAAGAAAGAAAGAAAGAAATAATAAGGATAATTTTCGTCATTTGGTATATTTATAAAATGTTTCACTTAAAACAGTTTTGAGGAAAATTGATTTGTCAAATCCAGTAGCTGTTATCGCTCTTTTCAGTACTGTCTTTGGCTTCTTTTCTAACCTTTTACTTCAAGTAGTGCATAATGTCAGTATCTTGATTCTTTCATTATTTTCTCTTTGAACTCCCGTTGCTATCCATTTAAGTCGTTGCTGTTGCTGAATGTCCTCAACTTTCTGTTATAGGGTAGAGTTCTTTATTTGTGATTCTGTAGCGCCAATCCAGGATGGTCCTCGTTGTGACTTACTCGATCGAAGCTATTTTTAACCATTGATCTGAGAAAGCGTTTTTTATGCAGACAGGGTTTTAGATGTTTCTCAACTAGTTTGATGTCATACTTAACATCTATATAAAAGCCTCGATCTGGAGTTTTCAAGTTAACGTTTGGGTTTTGTAGCAGTTTGCCATGTTGTGCGAAACTAACATAGCCTATTCCATGTTCCATTTCCTTATCTCGAAAATTCTTATAACTGATCCATACACCGAAGTATTTTAAGTGTTTGCTATTTACTAATTCTACATTTTTTTATTTTCTGATTATTAGAGAAAACGAGAAATTAGAATCGGCAAGTAATAAAAATTGTCGAGTGAGGTGAAGATTCACAAGAGCAAAAAAAAAAAAAATGGCAGGTTAAACAGAGGAATCAAAGAAAAAAAGTAGTATTTCGCTGAAACGAATAAAAAACATGGTGTCTAGAAAAAGGAGAAAGAGAAGGACGAGAGGGAGGAAAATAAAGAAAATGACAAAAAGAAAAAAAAAACAGAAAATTATTCAAAAGAGTTAGAGATAGAGAGGGAACGCATGACATTATCTTCTACCGATTCCGAAAAGCGATAAAGACAAGCGGAAATGTCTGAAAGAAATTGAATAAATGCAGAGTTGTATAGGAATAGAAAATGTCAGTATGAAAGACGAGTGGCCAATTGAATTATTAGGGTGGTGTTTTATTGAGACATAGGCAGGAATTGATGGTGTATTCTGTGCATCTCTCAATGTGGGTGCAATACATGCTGGTTGTGACAAGATCAGGATTCTAACGTAGAATAATATATTAAAGTATCGTCAATGAAAAGAAACAGAAGTATTCATGACATATCTCTTTCTCCAATACGCTTCCTGTCTTTATAAATATTTAGACACACACACAGACACACACACGTATATTATATTAAATGCTATTTAATGGATACTTGTATTTGAGTAGACGTTTCATTTATTTTTAACTGTATTTTATTTCGTCGGCAGACTGAATATTTGCGAAATATGAAAGAAAAAACTGAAATGATGTGTTTTTAGTACGGAAAAATATGTAATAAAAATATGTGGGATTAATAAATAAAAACATCAGTATACTCTCACTCATATATATATATATATATATATATATATATATATATATATATATATATATATATATATATATAATGGATTCCAATCGGTTTCGATGTATTTGGATCTGAAATCTTAACCAATTGATTCAGGTATGAAATTTTGTGTAATAATTCATTTCACGCCCAAAGGCATCCTAACAACACACACACACACACACACACACACACACACACACACACACACACACACACACACACATATATATATATATATATATATATATATATATATATATATATATATATACAGGCACACATTGACAATGGTAGTGACACCTAGACATATGTATGCACTTAAGACCCGCTAGTGATTTACAAAGGAGGCCGCATATGGAGCAAGAGTGCGTATTGCGGACTGAGATCACTGTTAGATTGTCTGACCTTTTAGATCTTGCTCTCGCTTCTCACACTAGCAGATAGAAAACTGCTGACTTCACTAAAACACTTTGAACTCCATTCTATATATTTGTGTGTGGATGGGTGTGTACGCGCTCGCTTTTTTGTGTCTGTATTCATATATATATATATATATATATATATATATATATATATATATATATATATGTGCGATGCGATGTGTAAATTGTCGATGTTTTATCATTTTAGTGTTTGTTTGATTTTGATTTTGTTGACTTCACAATATAGTATGGTCAGTTGGGAAGCGCCTGTGAGAAAAATATCAACCATGACACAATTCTCACCGCCAGAATTTTGGAAACAGCTTGCTTTGCCTTCGCGCCCGAAGCTCAATTACGAACATTTCAGTGTGCCTGGTTGTCAATCTGAGGACAGTGCAGAAGATTCGAAATAACTTAGTTGAGTCTAATAGTGATTTCGTCAACTATAAGCAAGATTAATCTTCACTTAAAAAAGCACAAGGAAAAACACTACCGTAGTCAACCCTAGCAAGAAAATTAAATTTATTATCTATTAGGAAAAAAAACAATTAACCGTATCATAAAAACTAATAACCCACCTGCCAAATCAAGGCATATTACGTAATGAGAGTCCAATCATATGGCAGTGAATTCTGAACAATTTACTCACAGATGAAGAAGAGACTTGAAGCAACTGATATCTGGTTCTACAGACATACACTGACAATATCATGAAACGAACATGTGAGCAATGACGAAAATATAGAGAAAATGGAAATGTGACGTCGTCCCCTGGTCGCAGCGCCAACTGTGACGTCCTATCCTGGTCTACCACGGCACCAACTGTGACGTCCTCGCCGCGGCGCCAGCTGTTCGCCCCTCGCTGCTCCGTTCGGGTGTCGCCGCTCCAAACGTGACGTCCGACTGTCGCGTCAGTCGTGTTGTCTCGTCCTGTGACGACCAACTGGCTTGGTATCGGTCGCGGCACCCAAATGTGACGTTCTAACCTTTTGGTGATTCGGGTGGGAATCTGGTTAGATTTGATATTCAGCCTCGTCGTTCCCAACTCGCTTCCAACGCTTGGTTACCAAAGTGACTGCATTGATCTCCAGTCTGCCTACCCACGTTGTGAATTGATCTTAGGCAGACGAGATCAATCAGTAGTTGGGGCCGTAATGCAAATCGGGTTCAACGGGGGTGACACCACACAAATATGCATAAAAGAAAATAAAATGAAGACTCAAAAGTTCAAGGTATCAAAGAAAAAGATAACAAACTTTATGTCTAGTTGTTCCATACATAGGACTGCGTCTATCTCCCGACCCGTTCTATGGATTGTGACACGTTGTTTTCCGTTAGGCGAGTTTTAACGCTTCAAGTTGTTTGCTCTTTAAGAAATTGGTTTTTCGGTGTGTCTTCGGACGAAAGTCGAAAAAAAAAACTTATTTTGGTGGTCTGGATCTAAGTCGCTCTTCAAAATAATTGTTCTTGGATTGAAGAGGAGTCCGGAAGGTGCGTGAATCTTGGTCAGCTATCTGCGAGGCTTGCTTCAACTGGAGACTGACTGTGGGAACTGTCTCGAACTCAACTCGAACTCGAACTTAACTCATTTCTGCTTGCTGCGGCTTCGCTTATATGGACGCCGACCAAAACCGGGGTGGGTTTGTCGGCGTCGGGGGTTCCTCGATATTTCTAATTACATATCCATCTCTTTTATTTCTGGTTAGGAATTTCCACTCTTTTCCATTTTGGGGAGCCTTTTCTTACTCCCACCTTCTCACCATACTTCAGAGGGGCGTGAGCTGCCCTCTCCACTTCTTCGTAGCAGCTTCTCATACCTATCCTCTAGATGGGCGGCGACAGCCTCCTTCGTGCGTCACGTGATCACCACTCGACCAATGGTGTCCTAGTCGGGCGTGGACGAATCCGAGGCTTTGTTTCAGGAAAAAAACATATCTTGCTTAACTAAAAAAAAAAAAATTATCTTTTCTTTTCCTTTTCTTCCTCTTAATCGCAGTTATCATTTTCTCTAGCCGCAAACAGGACAAGACGGTGGTCATAACTCTTGTTCTACACCTGGGCTTCGTCAGTACTTATCGCTAATTATCAGAATGGGTGGTCTTTTAACACGGCCAAACGTCGCCCCTGAAAAGAACATTTCTAAGTTCCCATT